ACATCAACAATGCGACTTAAGAGTTCGCTGGGTCAAAAAGATTTATACTACGACGAACACTTTGTCACATACGAAAATTTTAGATATACGGCACTTTAAAGTCCTCTCATCGGCTTTTACGCGACGAATAGTGTCAAAGTGTTCATATATGAGGTAAAATAAATACGGGGCCTATTTCCAAACTGCTTGTAAACGAAGGTTTATTGTAGGCAGCGAGGTGTTAGGCGTGATTCATGCCACCATCAGTAGAATATACCAAATTCTATATCATAAGTTCATATTTCATGCATCTTCTCATAATACACTTCCAATAAATGATGACCTTGCTGATAAAATAAATTGAGATGTTTCACTCGTCAGATTAGCGCTTAATTTTAGTTTTTGATTGATTGGTTTTCTATTTACCATAATAGATTGTACCAACAGTTCTACTTGCGGTCTTTCTACGCGAATTGCGTGTATTTCTTGATCGAATAAGATCTGTGTGGTCGAAGCAAAAGAAAACTTCAGTTTTGAGATTGGTTTTATCCTTTGATGTACGACAAAATATTCGTGATAGCCAATTATTTTTTTTCGTGCATAGAATTTAACCGCATGATCAAGCATTGATTGTTGTCCGTCCGTCGTTGGACCCTCTACATATTTGTCCCATTTTTTATGCAGATCACAGAATTATGTTCAAAGATTCAACCAATTGAATGAAGTAAATGGATCATTGACTGGCAGTCCTGCGCATACTTTTCACAACACTAGGACCAATTTGTTTTTACATTTACGTTCATTTAAAAAATAATCGTTGACACTTTCAATATCTCTGGTGCACTATACCAAATGAGATAGAGCCCACTTATTTAATACGTGTGATGTGTCCTGTATTATCCACCTTATCTAAATATATATGCATTCATATAAATTCGTGCATTTTCACGACTATCGATGCGAATGAATACGCTACAACACCGATATTTTTAAAATATGGCACAACTATTGTGGATAGTAAGCCTAATCTTATAAATATGATCGACTGGTTTAATAGCAACGAGAGCAATGTCACGTATACAAAAAATTAAATAATATATCTTAAACGTTTTGCTAATTTTTAATGCACACGTGTATGGGACATCTTCCTCATCATTGATTGCGCGTGTTCATTAATTAATAGTTGCTCAGCCACAAATCTATGTCCTACACTATTTATAGGTTGTTTGTTACCACCTGGAAGTAATAGCAATCTGATACACGAATAAGTAGCCAGGTGTCTGATGAAAGTGCGTGAGCGTCGACGTATATCCTTTAGCGCAACTTAATATTTTCGTGGAACTTAAAAAAGGTAAAGATTTAGTAGGTGTAAAGGTATAAAGTCTCGGATCGAACAGGAAACGGCTAAGATGTACACCATAGTGTATTTGCCCTAATTCAACAACTTAATTAAGCACATTTTTATGTGAGACCATATCGTTACAAATTACCCACGCAAAATTGATAACTAACAATATACAAAATAGTTTGTGCTCAATTAGTTATGGAGAGTACTTGACTATATTTCGTCGGGATTTTATGAAGCATGTATGTACATGGTCTAAATAAGCCAATCTTGCGTAAGTCAAGAACGCAGCGTGTCCCCTTTCTTTAAACATGTACGCGCTGCATGAAACTTTGGGTATAAAAAACGATCATGTATTTTTTCACATCTTCAAATTTGCGATGATTTCAAAATGCTTGCCACACTTAAAGACGATATGCTCAATATTTGTGCAAGATGTTAAATATTTTTGCTTTGTATCTGACAACACAGTGTGCTGATTGTGCTAATTTGGGGCAATTTATGAACCAAACATAACGTTAAAAAATGTTTTACTCGGGATACTCCTACTCCTTTTCGAGTCCACATACCTTTGCACTCCTATATTAATCAAGACAAGAATGTACACCTACATGTATTTGCAATATCTACTAGCCACTCTTACCTTTTATACTTTTGTTACCGATCAGCGCCAGTCGTTATCTACTTTATTGTTGTGTTTCATCTATCGTTAGTTGTTTTTGCCTTTTCACGTTGTACGCACCATAACAAGATTGCCTTATGATCAAACTGTCCGGGATAATGTGAGTTGCGCTCCCTTCCGAACATGTCTATCAGAGATGTGACAGCAGTGACGGAATGAAACAAGTGCTTATAGTTTTCGAGTGTTGTAATGTAGACATGGAACTGATTTATATGCACATCACCGTCGTTGTGAAGTTCATCCCAAGCTATAAATTTTAGCGTGTGGCATTTAAATTTGCTTGCTGGCACATTTATTCTTTTTTTCGACATAGTCGCACTATTAATAATTTTGCTGTTGCTTTGACATAAATTAGCATATGTCGAATAGTCTAGTCATCCTTCTATGGACGCAAGCAATGGCAACAAAGTTAATTGACTTGCATTTTCCAGTTTTATATCAAAATCTTTATCGCTGAAGAGGCTATGATTGTGTCGGCGTAGTCAACAAAAGAGTAAAAGGAATGGCGAATATTTCGAGTAGATATTAGCAATGCTGCCAAAAGAGGAGAATGCGGACATTACAACACATATATGATCTTACCAGAATCCATCCTAGGCATCAACAAGTGAGTCATTGCTACTCGCGAATATTAATAATCCTCGGTCAGATTACGTGAGGATAGTTCGTTTATCGCCTGTATAGTGCAACTTTTGTACGACAGTAAATTCTGTTTGAGAATCAGTATAAAGAGTAGTTGAAGGTGTTGGGCTCGAGGACGTTGGATTTCAAGTATGTAGTGACGTGTGCAATGTAAATGGTGCAACTATCTGCTTCGCAATGATGGATTCGACGTTTTGCTCTATGTAGCTTCAGCAGAATTTAGCTCAGTTCCTTCGTGCGATTCCCTGCGCTACGACTAGACCCTGGATATGAGATGAACTACAGTTTGCACGATATTGATCGTGCACTACGTGCGGCCATGCCTGGACAGAACGCATACACTCAATTACCGCAAATCAATTGTCAGTCATGTATTTTTACGGTGATACGGCTCGTGCAGCTGTACCAGGGTTCAGGTATGTGTGTAAGTCTCTGTGCGAGAATCGGACATAGTATGTATTGATTAGGCTACATTCTCACGTATATCAAAGCGTAAGTAAGATCTAATATCAGTGCTTGCTCCTTGGTCACCATTTCAGTACCCGTTGGGCGCAAAATTTAAGCTTCAGGTCCTGGTGTACAGATAGTGATGGTCCCCACTTAAGGACACGAGCCTAGTTTGGAGAAAACGGGGATCAGGAGAAAGGAAGCGCGACGTGGGGTGCGACAACGGTGGGCAACGGCATGGAGCAGTTGGACATGTAGCAGTTATATGAATGATGACAACCGAAAATATGATAAGTACACACATTACAACTTGCTTATAATTATACTCTTTTTTGGTTACAAATGCTGTCATCCTGACACTTTCCAAGCGAGATCGCCACTTGTTCGTCTTGCAACAGCCGAATTCGCAATTCGTCCAGTGAAACGGCGGACTACGCTGATACAGCAGACATGTATAAGCTGGCCAACACTCACAAATGAACCGGCAGGGTGTTTTAAAAGTACAGGTACATGAGGTTCTTCCGAAGTGAGTGCACCATCCAAACAATTACATGGAGACGTCAGGTGCTGGACGACCACAATTGCTAATGCAATCGCCGCTGCCACGAGCTACATCTGTGCTGGGTTGCGCAGCTCGAACTGAAAGTACATCATGCTTCGACGCTGTGTAGTTACGCATCGACACCTGAAATGAACGGAGGCGATAAAGAAAAAACTGATTGCACATGTGAAGCAGAGGATCGACGATACGAGGCATGTCTATGCCGCCACTTTCGACGTCATGGTCGCCTGGTAATTTGTGCGGATTGTACAAACACGCGACTGCATTTCGAGACCTGACAAAGAGTCTAAGGCCAACGACTCGAATTGACTTCCCGCGGCATGCCACAAATATCAACTCGACTTGTACGAGCTATAGTTGCGGCAGACGCGGATGATCAGACGCACACATTGTGGCTGTTTGGAGAATTTGTACAGGTAGAATCCGTCGAGCATGAATGCGGCGCATTTCAAAATTTAGGGGCTAAGCGAAGACTCTGCATTGCAGTGGTGGCGTGTGGTACCGAGGAAAAGGGTATTTACGTCTTAATGGAGAAGGTATTGCTTGAGCTACAGCTTTGTGACTGACAACGATACGCGGCGTGCGTCAATGGGCGCGTGCATGATCATCACGGACAAGATCAGCACAGAGTCGAATGTTGCAAAGTATGAAGCAGTGCTACACAGTAACTTGATGCACTGCCGTAAGAAACATACTGTATCGCTATGCGATAAACTAAGAGTAGCCACGTCAACTACGTCGCGATTCATGTGACAGGAGCTGTATGATGTGCATCGACTTGTCGCGACAAGCAGTTTTTGTCTAGGGCCGCCTAACCTGAGTGAAGGAATTGCATTGCACACGTGGCTACAACCCACCCTGAACCGTATCCGGAGTGGGTCGTGCAGTAGATTGCTACAAGCAAAAAGTTTACCTCTTCTTACAAGTGCTTTCCAGGACACGACGATCAATGCATTTCGGCAACACGTTGCTCTCTGACACTTTGTTTTGATCGACAACGCCGGCACCCCTTACGTGAGCGACATCCCGCTCAGTCGCGTATAGGCCATAGCGACACTGGGACAAGAAGTAAGACGCAACCCGTGCTTTCTAGATTTGTTGAGCACAGCGAAACACATAGTGTCAAAAGAATTGTATTACGTCTAAGCATTGACTGGTGCGTCATGTCAACTGTCGAGCGTAACACCAAAGCAACACCCTAAGTCTCACAACATCCAATCAAGTTGCAATCGACATGACCACACGTACCGAAGCTGCATGCGCTGTGGGCGGATGGCAGAAATGCAGCGCGCCCATCGCTCAAGTGCCAACGCCAAGAAGGCTTGGACGGTCGAAGAAGCTTCCTACTCAACCTTAGGCCTGGTGTCTTTAAGCGTCCCAAGTGTTTCAAGTGGACCATCGGGAAGAGGTTTTTCAGGCGCCTTCAACGTAGCAGCACCTCCGGCCGCGGTTTCATCCACCGCCGCGGCTTTGTTGAACATTGTGGAGCTCATTTTTTTGATCGAGTCAGCGATATCGGAAACCCCGGTCGTGAGTGCTTGGACCTGCTTGTTACCCTTCACTGTCTGGAAAGCCCCTTTCACCGTTTGATCGACGGTTTTGAGGAAATCCGGACGCCACGCATCGAACGTCGCCCATGCCGATTGGGCCGGAACCGCATCGTCCGCTGCTGCGGGTTTCTGCTTGAGTTTGGTCCTCAGGTTATTGAGTTTCTCAACGATACCATCGACTCCGCCCTTGACCGCTTTAAACTGGTCGTTATTGGCCAGTTTGCCCGCGGCCTTCGATAACGCATCTGTGGCTTCGTCGACGACCTTTCCGCCATACCTATCCAAACGCGTCAGCAGCGATGGGGCGGCTGCATCATCCACGGCCCCAGTTGCTTGTCTAGCAGCGGCTTCCTCTGGGGTACTCTTGACCGAGCTGAAAAACTTGGTTTTCATCTTCTTAACAAACGCCGAGAACTTCTCTTTGAGGGCTGTGATCTTCACGTTGTCGCGCGTGTTCTTAAAGGCCGACTTCAACGTCGTCGTGAACTTCTCGACGGCCTTCTGGCGCCACATGTTGAACCGTTCCCAGGCCGTTATGGTCGCTTTCATCGCCGTCTTTTGAGTTTCCGCGGCCTTGAGCACAACGGGCCTCTGTCCCAATCTACTAAAAACTCCCCCCACTTTTTCAGTGAGCGTCGTGCCAGGACCCCTCTCCTCAGGAAAAAGCTCGTCTTTCTGCACCAAGTCGTCTCCGTCCGGAGCGGCCCTCAAGAACCTCTCCACTTCTGCATCGTTGAAGGCGCCATCCGTCACGCGGGCCACGGCAGCGGCGTTGGGCTCGAGGACAGCTCTCGGATCCCCGGCGACTGTGGGGAGTGCGTCGCTAAAAGCGAAGACAGCGGCCAGAGCTGACATTGCGATGACCGCGAGGCGCATGGCTGGCCGGTGTTCAGGTAGAGTGGGGGTGGGCAGGTCGTGGTGTGCGATGACGTCGAATTGGAAATTGAGGCGCTCTGGGCAGCGTCTGTTAGTCCCCGACCAGGTCGAGCGATTGGATGAGCAGCTCCGATCCCAAATTTAGCTCATGGACCGGCTACGACGACGACGACGCGACATGCGCTCGTTGAGTCGCACGTGCACTGTCCAGCTAGAAGCACGACGATGGCGCCGTGATGCGGTGGTACCGATCGATGAGACCTGTTGGCTATTGTTGCAGCAGACACATTGACGCAGCAAAGCCGACCTTACACGGACACAGAGCCAAGAGGCAGCGCGAGGTCTCCACACGTATCAACCATTGTCTTGAGCTCGACAACCTGTCCACATTCTTCCACTCGCGTCTTCATCGTCAGGAGATAGCCAGGCAGAAGTGATCCGGAGGCTTCTTTTGTTAGAGCCAGCGTGGACCCATGTTCGCGGAAGTCAATGGTCCTTAAAAACAGCCGTCGGGGATGTCCCAACACCGGTTGGCAATGACAATGAGCTCGCTGATGTGTATACTGTGCGCGCACCCACACCCCCAAGTTCATGTGCAGCAAATACAGCCGCTCGATTTGATCTGGTCGACCGGTGTGTAAAAGCGACCACAGACCCAAAGGTATCCCAATACTGCGCGACCGCTTCCTCAATCCCATATAGCGGGGCAACTCTGCGGTTCATATCTGCGGGCCATGCGAAAAAGGGGAGAGGCGAGACGGCAGCAAGCGATACAGACGTGGGCAGCGCGTGAGGGAGCTAGTGCGTTAAATATGCATGTTTGACCCTTTTGTGCCCAATGGTAACATCCTAAATAGCAACCATCCCCTTTTGTGCCTTTGAAAGAAAGATCGTAAGAACCATCTGCAACGTCAATAGCAGTCAAATTGGCAGCTTGGCAGTATAGCAGTGTGTCGGATGTCTTCGCAGACAATGCTCTGACGCAGCACAGTGGTCATTCAACAATCACGTCACGTTTGCCGCCCATGCAAAAGCAACCTACATTTGCGGTTGACCCTATACGGACAATAGCTTTGGCGCCGATGCTACCAGCAAGATTACGCGATTCAGAGGATGCTGCTCCAAATGTGACGTACGAACCTTAAAGACAAGTTGCACAGTATACAAGGCCACTTCAGCTGCATCCTGTGCCCGCCGCGCTACTACTGATAAGTGCCTCTCATGTCGGCAATCATGATGCAGCCACTTCAATTAAGTCAAGCGCAGCAGACCGATACAAGTTCTGGTTCTGGTCATAATGATTCCCAATGCAATTTGTATGAGCACAATGCAGCCTACTCTAACGCCACACAGTAGGTGCTGGCAATTCATAGTGCAAGTTGCTTTAATCCCATCGTTATAAAACCCCGTGTCATTAGTCTTAAACGCAGCTCGGTGGAAGTAGCACCACACTCGTCCACTTATAGCTACGCATACGCACACGTACACTGTCGCCGACACGGGAATGCTACGACGTCCGCTGTGGTACGGCGACGGGCCACGTCGACGCATAAATCCCGGTGAGCGCGAGCGGCCCCCCCTCGGTGACCCGCCATAGTCAGACTCCAACTGCGGCCTCGAAACGGCGACGCGAATTGCATTTGCTCCAACGAATGTATATGCATACGACTTACATGTGTATGTCAATTTGCGAGTAAGAGTAGCTTCAAAACATGACGATTCAATAGAGACTCAGTGGGAGCTAGTAGCTATTTAGTATGTTACCATTGGGCGCAAAAGGGCCAAACATGTATATTTAACGCACTAGCTTCCTCACGTGCTGCCCGTGTCTGTTTCACTTGCTGCCGTCTCGCCTTTCCCACAAAAAAAACCTTTCCTCGCATCCGAACTTTAATTCCGCTTCACTCAATGCTTCATTTTTGTCATCCTCATCGCCATGTGCTTTTGCCAGACACGTCTTTCCTGCCGTCGATTGAGTCATAGTAGAGACAGGCGACCATTTCTTTTGCATGCACAGCCCACGCGAGCTCCGGGGAAATGTCGCGATTGGCTACAATCCAGCTCAACGGGCCCCTTTCTGTGCCATGCGACACAGCCAGGCGAACGTGCTCAGAGATGGGCGGGTAGGGCACCACGTGTGGATTCTCCCCACTTTCTACGTCGTCACATACTTTGTAGCCACTCCGAGATTGAAAAAAGCAACAGTGTTGTCACGGTCTGGAGCTCACTCGCTGGAAGAAAAAGTGGAATGAGGCGGCCTCATGTTTTGAGTACGCGATACACTTCACACGCAGATAGAAGCGCGACCCTCTAATGCTGTCGGTAGCCTCTTCATTGAGTCACGCCGTTGTTACAGTCAAGTGGTCAAACGTTATCGTCGTCATTTTTAGATCGCATAGTGAGCGCGTGAGTAACTGAAGGACGTCGGCTGTTTGCGTAAGACGTCGCTGCAATTGACCACATCAATATTTGCGTACTGCTGCCACTGACCAGGGCATTCCACTCTACATGACTCGAGTCACCCGCCGACTCGTCGTCGTACGCCTCACTGGTAGCACAACCCCTCTCCTACATTAAAATAAGCCCCAGAGTGCCATTCAACAACTGCGTGCAGAACGCGTGTTGGTGTGTGAGCTCCACTCTGAAAACGAAAGAGTCCCATTTATTCGATAGCGTCGACGATTAGTAGGCGTTGCGCATTGGTCCCCTCCATTTAGTGCTATTGCACGCCCCTATACGATTAGGCAGCTCCAGATGCATCTGCTTCCCCCCTCGCTCCTGACGACAAAAGATCAGGGGCGGTGAAGTACTCCAGCTAAATATCTACGAACCGCTAACTTCGCAACGCTCACTCAGCTGCTGTTGATCCATGGCGTCTCCTTGTTCATCCTGCTAACGAAACACGTCACTGCGTCACGGCGATCCGCAGGCGACAATGACGGGCTGTCGTCATTATGCGCTCGAGACAAAAAGACGCTGGAATCAGCTGTCACGTCAGCGTCGTCTGCAAAGTCAGCTGCATCTCCACAACGCAGAACCCGATCTGACTCGCATCAAGGTGAATCGATCACCAGGTGTCGTTCGTACTTTCGCGAGCGTTTGCTTCAGCCACCTGGACTGGAGTGATATCCTTCGGTCCATTGCGTTGCAAGACGTCGACTCAGCAAAACCCCTCCAGTTGACCGGCAGCATGTAGTCCAAACCTACATCCCGATATGCACCAGCTCTTGCTCCTCTTACTGGCGCACTTCGCACTCGATCCGCTGACAACCACTCTTGAACCTCACTGCCGTTGCTTCATGGCATCGCGACAGGATTCCCTCTGTGACTCGGCATTTCACGTGCAAACGACGTGATATGTGCCCGTGTAGCTCTCTCTAATGCCTCGCAGATAACCCAGATCCACACATGACGACAACAGCTCAACTCGACCAGAAAGTTGCGCATGCCGCGGTACAACACGTCTAGACCCGAATACGCTCGGACAGCATACAGACGACACTGGTGTCTTGTGCGTGCGAGATTAGGGTGGCACCAAGACTTGGTCGACTTCAGCAAGGAGGAGTTTCATGATCATCTATTGACATATTTAATGTGGACAAGAGGTCTGAAAAATCCTGAGCCAGGATATGAGCGCCGGTCGCGGCAGCGGATCGTGGCTGACACCCGCGTAGGGCGGGTGTCCACGGGGCTCTTGAAGCAGAAGTTCAAGACAGGCATGAAGTCGGGCCCCTCGTACGGCCGTAGCCGCGGCTCGATGCTCGCGTATTGCAATTGCCCGTAGCTGGCGAACACCGCGTGTCCAGTACATTTGGACACTTGCGGATGGAGTAGTCACGGCTCCTCGAAAGACCGCCGAGTTCCGCTCGGTCCACAAATGTTCTTGGCAGATGGAGCTTAATATGAACCAGATCCGTTCGAATTCTGTTGCTGCGGCGTCAGAGTCATCTTGAAAACGGCTTTGCAACCGCAAACTCAGCTGACGTGGAATGGGCGGGGCTTTGCGATTGGCGCAGTGCTGAAAGAAGGTGGAAAGAACTGCGTTCGTCGCACCCCCACCGGTCCAGTGTCCTATCAAGTGACACCAACACGCTTGCGCGATTGGGCACTCCCAGAAAATGTGCGCCGCTGTCTCTTTGCGTCCCCGGCAGTGCAGCACCGTACGACAACTGTTGTCCAGCGTGCGACCGGCATGGTATAGATTTAGCTGCTTTGTCGCGATACGATAGCATGTCCAGACTTGATACTCCGTTAGCCCGTTTGCGTGTTTCCAAACTTGGGAAGGCGTTTGATTTGATGCAGCTGACTGCCAACTATTCGATACCGCCTGCGCGTCATAGGCCTTCAACCAGGACTGGAGGCCAGGGTGCAGAAGGCGTTTATGAACGTGAAACGCTTGCTTCATAAGCGTTGTCCACACATCTACATTGGCCACCGTCTCTGGCACACTCCAAGGGAAACGGTGAAGCTCCGGGTGGGCATGAAACACCAAGGTACGATGGTACGAATGCTCCCAGTAGTTAGACACTTGCTGAGGCGACCCCCGTAATTCTGGTAAATTCCCGTCAATCGACCAATGGATTCCATTGACATCTTGGCGGAGGCGAATCGCCGAGTTCGCGGACTCGACAGGGTCCCGACAGGACCCGACAATTAAATCAGCTCGCACCCGGGACCATTTATAAGCGCGCCGAAACGGCGGTGGATGACGTAAGACGAGCCCGGGCTCTACCGGTCCCGCACCGACAGCAAGGTGGGGTGACGAGAGCAGGATCGAAGTCACCCAACGTTGTAATTTACAATGCATATGCCGAGACGGAGTACCGCCGAGAGACGGGAACGTAAATTGAAATTCATGTGACCCCAGTCGCCGAATGCACAGACTGCGCAGTGAACATGGAGGTATCCGGGCATATTTGGCCCGCTCTAGGGGCTTGCCGTCTGGCCCTTGAATCCAAGGATTGCCATCCCAGTGAAAGCGGCCCCAGAAAGCGGCTAAT